CAGTCTTCTCCATGTTTCACGACGACCCACTGAACATTGCCTTCAGATACGACATCTACCCTGACTGTCTCCAGTCTTCTCCATGTTTCACGACGACCCACTGAACATTGCCTTCAGATACGACATCTACCCTGACTGTCTCCAGTCTTCTCCATGTTTCACGACGACCCACTGAATATTGCGTTCTGACACGACATCTACCCTTACTGTCTCCAGTCTTCTCCATGTTGCACGACGACCCACTGAATATTGCCTTCAGACACGACATCTACCCTGACTGTCTCCAGTCTTCTCCATGTTTCACGACAACCCACTGAATATTGCCTTCAGACACGACATCTACCCTGACTGTCTCCAGTCTTCTCCATGTTGCACGACGACCCACTGAACACGAAACTGCATTGTCAGAAACGATGATTTACCTCCGATCTTCAACCAGTGTGATAATCTGAAAAATAAAATAAAAATACACAGGCAAGTGAATGGAGGCAGTAAAATAACTGAAAATGGAGTAACTCTGCAGCTGGATATTATCACACTGAAAGCCGATGAATCAAATAAGATATCACGTTGGGTAGAGACGGAGGATCAAGCCTTAAACTCCGTCTTGCGCTGAGTCACCCACATAAGTTAACCGATTTCAATATTAATAATAATAATAATAATAATAATGATAAATACTATTGTTCTTCTTATTATTAGTATTATTATTATTATTATTATTATTATTATTATTATTATTATTATTATTATTATTATTATTATTATTAATTAGTAATAATATTATTAATAATATATTTTGATATTATAGGAATATACATAAGAACTAAATTATTCAAAGTGGCTAACAAGAGAGTAAGTAAAGAAACAGAGAAAATGGACATACATAATTTTTAAAAGTGGGATAATTGATTATTTAAATATTGTTTCTCTAAAAACTCTGCTATAAAAACACTAGTTAAAGATTAATAAAACACTAGATGACCAAGATTGTGTTTATAACAACACCATTGTATTGTGTCAGGACGGGAATGATGCTTCCTAACACAGGTAACATTGTATTGTGTCAGGACGGGAATGATGCTTCCTAACACAGGTAACATTGTATTGTGTCAGGACGGGAATGATGTTTCCTAACACAGGTAACATTGTATTGTGTCAGGACGGGAATGATGTTTCCTAACACAGGTAACATTGTATTGTGTCAGGACGGGAATGATGTTTCCTAACACAGGTAACATTGTATTGTGTCAGGACGGGAATGATGCTTCCTAACACAGGTAACATTGTATTGTGTCAGGACGGGAATGATGCTTCCTAACACAGGTAACATTGTATTGTGTCAGGACGGGAATGATGCTTCCTAACACAGGTAACATTGTATTGTGTCAGGACGGGAATGATGTTTCCTAACACAGGTAACATTGTATTGTGTCAGGACGGGAATGATGCTTCCTAACACAGGTAACATTGTATTGTGTCAGGACGGGAATGATGCTTCCTAACACAGGTAACATTGTATTGTGTCAGGACGGGAATGATGCTTCCTAACACAGGTAACATTGTATTGTGTCAGGACGGGAATGATGTTTCCTAACACAGGTAACATTGTATTGTGTCAGGACGGGAATGATGTTTCCTAACACAGGTAACATTGTATTGTGTCAGGACGGGAATGATGTTTCCTAACACAGTAACATTGTATTGTATCAGGACGGGAATGATGTTTCCTAACACAGGTAACATTGTATTGTGTCAGGACGGGAATGATGTTTCCTAACACAGGTAACATTGTATTGTGTCAGGACGGGAATGATGTTTCCTAACACAGTAACATTGTATTGTATCAGGACGGGAATGATGTTTCCTAACACAGGTAACATTGTATTGTGTCAGGACGGGAATGATGTTTCCTAACACAGGTAACATTGTATTGTGTCAGGACGGGAATGATGTTTCCTAACACAGGTAACATTGTATTGTGTCAGGACGGGAATGATGTTTCCTAACACAGGTAACATTGTATTGTATCAGGACGGGAATGATGTTTCCTAACACAGGTAACATTGTATTGTATCAGGACGGGAATGATGTTTCCTGACACAGGTAACAGTTACATGATGACCTTCTCAGTGACCAGCCACTGGGGTACTGGTGTTAGGAACCCCAGTACCTCCTCAGTGACCACCCACTGAGGAACTGGTGTTAGGATCCCCAGTACCTCCTCAGTGACCAGCCACTGGGGTACTGGTGTTAGGATCCCCAGTACCTCCTCAGTGACCAGCCACTGGAGTACTAGTGTTAGGATCCCCGGTACCTTCTCAGTGACCAGCCATTGGGGTACTGGTGTTAGGATCCCCAGTACCTCCTCAGTGACCAGCCACTGGGGTACTGGTGTTAGGATCCCCAGTACCTCCTCAGTGACCAGCCACTGGGGTGCTGGTGTTAGGATCCCCAGTACCTCCTCAGTGACCAGCCACTGGGGAACTGGTGTTAGGATCCCCAGTACCTCCTCAGTGACCACCCACTGGGGTACTGGTGTTAGGATCCCCAGTACCTCCTCAGTGACCAGCCACTGGGGTACTGGTGTTAGGATCCCCAGTACTTCCTCAGTGACCAGCCACTAGGGAACGGGTGTTAGGATCCCCAGTACCTCATCAGTGACCAGTCACTGGGGAACGGGTGTTAGGATGCCCAGTACCTCCTCAGTGACCAGCCACTGGGGTACTGGTGTTAGGATCCCCAGTACCTCCTCAGTGACCACCCACTGGTGAACTGGAGTTAGGATCCCCAGTACCTCCTCAGTGACCAGCCACTGGGGTACTGGTGTTAGGGTCCCCAGTACCTCCTCAGTGACCAGCCACTGGAGTACTAGTGTTAGGATCCCCAGTACCTCCTCAGTGACCAGCCACTGGGGTACTGGTGTTAGGATCCCCAGTACCTCCTCAGTGACCAGTCACTGGGGAACGGGTGTTAGGATGCCCAGTACCTCCTTAGTGACCAGCCACTGGGGTACAGGTGTTAGGATCCCCAGTACCTCCTCAGTGACCAGCCATTGGGGTACTGGTGTTAGGTTCCCCAGTACCTCCTCAGTGGCCAGCCGCATTGGTACTGGTGTTGGGATCTCCAATACCTTTTCAGTGACCAGCCATTTGGGTTCTGGTGTCAGAATTTCCAGTACCTCCTCAGTGACCAGCCACTGGTGTACTGGTGTTTGGATCTCCTGTGGCCTGGTGGCTAAAGCTCCCGCTTCACACACGGAGGGCCCGGGTTCGATTCCCGGCGGGTGGAAACATTTCGATACGTTTCCTTACACCTGTTGTCCTGTTCACCTAGCAGCAAATAGGTACCTGGGTGTTAGTCGACTGGTGTGGGTCGCCTCCTGGGGGACAAGATTAAGGACCCTAATGGAAATAAGTTAGACAGTCCTCGATAACGCACTGACTTTCTTGGGTTATCCTGGGTGGCTAACCCTCCGGGGTTAAAAATCCGAACGAAATCTTATCTTATCTTATCTTAACTTCTCAGTGAGTGACCAGCCATTTGGGTACTGGTATTAGAATCTCTAGTACCTGCTCAGCGAATTACCAACCACTGGGGTACTGGTGTTAGGATCCCAAGTACCTGCTCAGTGACGAGCCACTGGGGTACTGGTGTTAGGATCCCAAGTACCTGTTCAGTGACTGACCAGCTGTTGTGGTACCGGTGCTGTGATCCCCAGTAACAAGTCGTGGGGTTACCGGGGCCTACTTCAACACATCACTCTATGTTGGTTATGGCTAATTTATGTACGTAATATAAAGAGCACTTGTACACATTACCTAATCAGCACTCTGAACACAAAAAAACTTGCTGACATAATAATCAATATGCTATCATATCCTATTTTGCTGCTATCTTCTAACGTTCCAAATACCAGTACCAATAGCAAATATATCTGGGTGTCCCGTAGCTCGATAGCTGAAGTACTCAACTCACTCACTGAGGTCCGTGGTTCGATCCCAGGTACGGATGGAAGCATTGGGATGTGTTTTCTTAAGACACCTGCTGTCCGTGTTCAACTAGCAGTATTGAGTGTTAGTGGACTGGTGTGGGTCGCATCCTGGGACAAAACTGACATAATTTGCCCGAAATGCTCGGCATAACATGCAGCTTACTACAGCTTACTACAGATTATTATTATTATTATTATTATTATTATTATTATTATTATTGATATTATTATTATTATTATTATTATTATTATTATTATTATTATCATTATTATTATTGTTGTTGTCATTATTATTATAATTATTATTATTTAATAGTATCATCACTAACTTACGGATGTCGTCAATTGTCCGCTGTTGTATCACAGATTTACTCGTTACATATAGCACAAGCAAACAGGATCCTCTTAATCACAGTCCTCAAAAATTATTTGTTCAAATTCGCTTGTTACAAGCTTCGTTACAAGAATCTTCGCAACATAAATAAAAAAAAATAAAAAAAAACTTGCGGGAGGTGATAGTGACACAGGTTTGATGTGAGGAAAGGGAGAAGGTAGATCTATCATGTGGGTTACTGTGACGAAGTGTGCCAGGTAATATTATATTCCGTATGACTGTTGAGAGAAATCAAAATATCTGGTTACTTTAACTTAATAAACAAAAGACGTTGTTTATTGTTATTGTTAGTATTGATGTTTTTCGTTGTTGCTATTGTTAATATTGTTGTTACCCGCGAGGGTCAAACAGCACATAGAGTGGAATTTCAATCCTCCGTCTGTTACCCGCCAGACAGACACAGACAGGTTACAGTCGGAACCAGGCTCTTTCTTTCTTTGTGCCAGACCTGTTCGACACTGTTTACATTTCTTTACCCTCCTTATCTGAAAGGTAATGCCAGGAGAATGTATAAGTGATCCAAAAACAAGATACCAAAAAAAATGGCATCTTAAGAAGGGTGTGTGCCGGTGGCAGCGGGGGTATATAAGTGGGTACCAAGACCTGCATTAGGCAGACATCACTGACCAGCACTCTGGCTCACGCTCTCCCTCCTGTGCTCTAAACCTTGTCCATCATGAAGTTTGTGAGTAACACACATTAAACACATTTACAAATACGTTTACTTTATTTTACTCCTTATTAAAGAAATTACGATTGACGTGGATGTTAACTTTGAATGTAGTAGTAATTGATTCTCAGCCAGATACGTAGCCAGTACCTGCTTTCAATGTGCTGAATTAAACTTATATTTTAAGTGAAGCGGTAAACTTGTGAATGCTAACAGGGCAAGGAGAGATGGAGGCTCGACCCTCTGTCTGATAATCGCAGTCTGGTGTTGGACTAGTCAGGCTTATTGTGTTTGTTATGTGTTACTGACGGTGTAATTGCCACAGGTTGTGTTGCTGGCGTGTTGTGTAGCGTGTGTTGTGGGCCGACCACAACCTGATGACCTCAAAGATGATCCCGTCCCCATCCTTCTCGACGAGAGGACTCCCATCGACGAACTAGGTGGATATGGCTTTAAGTACGTCTATCTTGCCCTTGTCGTAGCTTCCCCGCATATATTATGAAAAAAAAAATACTAGCCAGGTTTATGGTCGAGTGACATTACAAGGGTCAGTAAAGAACACAATCCACCTAGTACTTAACATCAAGGATGCTTTAATCCTTAACATAATAAACTCGCAATGTATATACCCTGACATATATACATCATTATGTACGTGCCCTTATACTTTTAGGACGGGCTAACCATGAGTTCAATCAGGTCCATTTATGAGTAGTTTATTATCGTGTTATTGCTATAATGCAAGTCAACCTTTGAAAACTGGTAGCTAGGAATTGAATAATTTATTCACCAAAAATATACATATTAAATTATATCAAACAAAAGC